GAGTTAGGATTCGAGTTAGGATTCGAGTTAGGATTCGAGTTAGGATTCGAATATTGGAACAAATATCATTGGATAAATTCTTGGTTATTGCCAATAATTTGTTTAGAATCACCATGCAGTTCTTTTGACTAAAACATTCACAACATACAGCAGTTTGTTGTATACGTAATACATATTGAAATCATTCCATGCACTTGTGGGCTACTCGAATTATACAAACCCCAACAAATTATAATTTTAGGTCAAATTCCTATTATATCATCCATCTTAGATTTACTTGTACGTAGTAATGCTGTGAATTATTTACTTCAATTTGTTTTTGAACAAAGCTGAAAAAATATTTTCCCCAGCTTTAAAGGGTCAATAATTTGTGTTAGATTCCAAAACGCGAAACATTTACTATTGTAGTCAGATATCGATGACGGTAGTCATTGCARCAGTGATATTTTAACATGTGACGGATATGATATCTTCACTGTGCAGAATGTACGTTTTAAACATTAAAGAAGTAGTCCTTTTTAACTCGTAGAAACGAGTTATTGTGAGGGGTCTGAATGTCACTCACACACTCAATATGGCGTTGCAGATCGATATTTAATGGTATGTACATCTTGAGTTGAGCATCTGCCGAACCCTATACGAATTGTCATGAAAGCGAAAGCTAGCTCATCTACGGCATAAGGTCAATTAAATCCGCTATATTTTATAGTCATTTATTTAATAAAATCTCTGGGCTCAGTGCATAAGTATCCACGAGATGGCCATATGGTGCGTTTGATCGTTCGTCGCTTCGCTCACTCGTGAAAATCCTTTCAACACTCGAATATAAAATTTGTATCTTCGCGCGCCGCCCATGTAACTCCTCTATATATCCTCTATATATCCTCTATATATCCTATAAATTCATGGGCGATTAGTGAATAAATAAGTAAGAAATATGAATGAATGGTTGCATGAATGAATGAATAAACGAACATAATCAATTCAATCATATTGMATAAACAAGATCATAAATATATTTACATTATTTATACATCATTATCGTTTACAGAAAACACGGAGTATAACGCAATTATAACATCGCCCATTCAACGAGAGAGTTCAGTTGTTGAACTCTACACTAAAGAACTGCATGCTTGAGGCTAAACGAATATCCAAATTGATAATCCAGACGTGTSTAATAAAATTTGCAATATTTAATGGTGTCAGTTATTTTATTATACCTCGTACTCTAGTTGAGGCTAGTTGATGAGCCGGTGAGCGACAACGTTGAACCAAAAGAAACACAACAAGATACAATATAGCTGTAGGTGCTATTAAAGCACAGTGTCCATAACGCACGAACAAARCAAAATCAAATTGGGGGGAAAATAGTAAGAGGGTTGTCTGGTATACTACCTTTTCATCATTACTGGTATACTATACTTTGTTTCCGGTGCCAACGAAACATGTGACCAAACGGCGGCATCGGAACAGCACGTGTTTGGTGTTTGGTGCTTAACGTGACTAAGGTCAGCTTTACCCTATTAAGCGACCACCATTTATGAAGCGGCTACTATCAAAAGTCCAAAAGTATTTGCCACTAAATTACTGTAGTGATACGGTACCTCTGTTAAGCGGYCGCGGCCACCTTGAGRCTGTCCCAGCGTTTGAGCAGCGTTTGTTTTATATCATGACTATCAAATGATTATCGGTTATCATTTTTAAATGCAAAAAAGAAGCGTTAATAGTAAGTACAGAGATTTCAGGAAACGTTTTATAATTGTTATTAATTCATGCTCAGCCCCATTTATCGGCCTCTTATTTAATTTACTTTTCCGAATCCTAACTCGAATCCTAACTCGGAAGATAGATACCCTCGCCCTACTATACATATAGTTGAAAATGCTTAATTAGTAGCTTATCGCTTCTTAAAGATATGACTGTGTTTTCACTAGGACAATTTAAACTAGCTTAAATACGACACCGGAAATAAGGCAAAATTAAACTACCTAGCAAGATGGTTTAAATTGTCCTACCAAATAAATGGGCCAATCACAGTGTTATTCTTGAAAGGTGGACGTCGCATTTAAAAAACACCTTCAGGAATTTTACGCAAGCTAACTAATCAGGGTTTGGATAGATGCCTATTATCGTGTAACTTCCTGCCCCCATCCTGGCACGCCTATAGATAACGTGATGACAAGTAACAAGGTGCAGATAAGCTTGCTGCAATTAGAAATGAAAAAAACTTTTATTTTATTTTAATTTAATCGTTAAAGGACAACTGACCCCAAAAATTGCCGTTTTTGATATAAAACTACAACGTA